CTTGCGGGTTTGTGGGGACTGTCACACCGCAATCATCTACATCTCCAAGATCATCGAACATGAGATAATATTGAGGGGTTCGAGTCGTTTTCATCATTTTAAGGATGGATGCTGCTCCTGCAAGGGTTATTGGTGAAGATTATTCAAGTGTAGGTATGATATTATTTGGCTCTAAAGCACGAGGTAAAGAAGCTATGACTTGGTTCCATTAAGAGGCAACCTTGAAATCGCTAAGAGGTAAATCATGTTTGGCAACTAACACCTATCTCTTAATGGTTCTAAAAACCTCTGAGCATTTTAGTATCTCTTGAATTCTCAAAACTTCTGTCGCTCCATCGATTCTAGAGTATCCTCAAGCCATTCGGGACCCCTATATTTTCCATGAGTGCCCCTTGTTCTCTTACGACCTGCTGCTGCTGCTCTCTGAAGTCGCCCCTGTTGTCTTACGATCTGCTCTCTCCAAATTGAATCTGCATTGTTGTTAAGGTACATTCAACTTTCACCATCGATTTTTACATCTGTACAATCATTCATCTGTTTGATTTTTACACATGGAATCTGCGTGTGTGTGATCTTTTACACATCGAATCTGCATCTGTCATTAATGATGATTTTCCAATCATTTGAGATAATTAAAAATGGACGAGAAGGTAGTAATCTTGCGCCAAGGTTATGGAAGAATGTTGGAGAAGATGCAATATCTATGATCAGTTATTCATGGATTACGATAATGACCCCATGTTTATTGCCGAAGTACAAGAAGAAATTGAAGGAGGCGATGAATATGACACGGACGGAACGCCTTATGGTTCTCAAAATGATGAATATATGGCTAATTTATGTCATCAGATTGCGAATCGGTTATTTATTAATGCGTCACATTAAGAATTGTTCGAAAACTATTATGTTGAATTTGATTGTTATATTTTTGTTTAATCTACAACTTGTTATGCTTGATTGGATTAATATGAGATCTTTTGAACGAGTAATATTGAGTTTGTGGTTTATATTTGCAAAGTAATTGTTTAGATATTTACCAAACGGCTATCTTTCATATGATACTAAATCCTACAGAGGGTTGAAATGGTCATTTATGTCATTCAGTCTGTCTATTCAGAGCACTTGGGCTTGTTTGTTTGCAACTGAATGATCCTACAGACCGTTAAAATGGTCATTTATGTCATTCAGTCTGTCTATTCAGAACACTTGGGTTTGTTTATATCTGATTCGGTTAGAGCTAAACCTTGTTTGGTTAGATTTTAATAGCTTCTGAACCTTACCATCTGTCACTTAATTATTCATTTACCAGGTCCATGACTATACGGTTCAGAGGCGCATGGTAGGTGACAAGTGAACAAAGCTCTCCTTTATTGCAAAGATCTCATCAACAAGGTTCTTATCCTTCCTCTCACATTTGCTTATTGTAGACTTTCAGAATCTGCTTCTTGTGTTATATTTCTGATTCCACTACAATTGGTTGTCTTCGATTTCTTGAATTTCTAGTGTTAAATGTATTTTTCTTTAATGAGCACCAGGTGTTAGATAAAAGTTTTCAGTAAGAGTTTTTGGTTTTGACCGAACCTTAATCATTTTTCATGTTGATTCATTATGATTGTGTTTAGGATGGTCTGTCTTTTATCTTGGTACATGGGACACAAATCCCACCACTCTCTTATTATTATCTGCTTTGCAGATAGCCCGGAGTCACCGTATTTGAACCTCCGTGGCCACAAGGGGATTTTTATTTCTCCTTGGATTTGAACGTGGGATCTCCTGGTCTTTTTGACCTTTGGAGCAAAGCTCAAACCAATCAGGCACCACCCTTGTACCGATCACATATAGGCATAGTGTAGAAAACATGTATATATGACCAACATTTACATGCACATGCACATGAGCTGGATGATGGATGAATATTTCTTTGATCTGGTGTACCATTCTTGTCATTGTTTGAATAATTTACTAGACTACAATTCCTTGTCAAGATATTTGTTGTGGGTCGTAAACAAACCGCTTATAGAAGCATCTCCAATGCACCCCTACATCGATTCTTTAACTAATGCAGACAGTCAAAACCAAAAAAATACTACGCTCTCAACATTGAACCTTTTTTTGTTGTGTAGGATTTGATGTTAGCGTTTGGGTTCTGGTGAGAAGGGAAGTTATGATGAGAAGCGTAAGAAGAGATTTCCACCTTTGGATCGATTCTAATGGAATGTCAACCCTAATGAGGTGCAATGGATCAATTCCTTTCTAAAACACGATTCATGGGTAGACATGAGATTACGTATGCTGAGGAAATAGAAGGAAATCCAAGGGAGAAAAGGAAGAAGACATGGGTGGGAGAAAACAAATATTGTTGTCTTTTGTAATATATATTTATAATGTGATATGTGGTACTTATGAATTTTTTTTAAAAAGATGTAACCTATTTTTTATTTATTTATAACATTTACCAAACAATTATATCTTATTTAACAATAAATCAATCATATAGATGGTGAAAATAGTAATTTCCTACTATTTAAGTTGTTCACTCATAACATTTAGCAAATAACAATTTTTTGTCATATACAAAATCTTTTAATCATTCTGACCATTTAATGGTTACGTACCAAATCATTCAATGACTGCCGAACACGTCTTATTAAACAACCAAATTTTATTTTGTACTATATCATATAGAGCCTTTTAATTACTCTAACCACTTTTAATAGTTTTGCATCTAACCATTTGACAACTGATAACATTTCTTAAAAGATTGTTTTCTTAAATGGTTGATATTAGATGTACAAAAGTACAAAAAAGCCCAAGCTAGAGCTTAGACATGAAAAAACCCAGTCCTAGTAAGCTCGACCTTAACGCTTAGTTTGACTGACCTTTTATTTAAGACCGGTTAAAGTCAACCCAAAAAAACACCTTGTTAGCCCTTAAAAGCCTGTCTCAAAAGCCTGATGGGCCCTCTTTCAATCCAATGTTTGGCTTTGCCCTAGAAAATCCAGCTTTCCTTTTTATTACTGAAAAACGAGCTTTGAGAGCTCGGGCGTTGTGCATCTCTATACACGAACTTATTTGAGACCTCGTTAAAACCAGGATCTGAATCGAGACCCTTTGCATTTTGAACAACTAAAGGGATAGTCATAACCAATCAATTGTTGTCGTCTATGATTAGTTTGAAGGACTGCTACCAAGGGACTAATTATGACCAATTTTAAGGTTAAAAAAAGCCACATGGTCACATTGGTTATGGTAAAAAAACATGCTTGTTAAAAAAATCCAGTTATTAATGATAAAATAACATTGAATTAAAATATATATTTATGAGAATTTAATCCTACCAAAATAATCAAATTTGTAAGATAGCAAAATATAAGCTAAATGTTCCATATAATGGAATTGCTTAAACTAGAAAAGTAATTATCTTACTTGATTTGCTATATGGTCATTATAAGAACAAAGGCAAGATAGATATAAACACCACTTTGTTGTGCACGGATGTTATTATTCGGAACTAATATTAATCCATCACATACATGATACATGTACACCCATAATTATATCAATTACATCATATCCGTGGTTCAGAGTGTTCCATGCTGCATGTTATTCGCTAATGATATTTGTGCGGGTAGCGGAGTCGAGTGTAAAGGCGGATTAGAGCTTTGAGTAGTGGAGGCTGACTTTGGAAACACAGGGCTTGCACATTAGTCGCGCTAAGAATGAATATCTACAGTGCAACTTCAACAAGGGTTAGGTTCCAATGAGAATGGTAAGAAAAGATCTCCACCCTTGGATCAATTCTAATTGAATTTCAACACTAATGAGGTGCACCAAGATGCTCCAGATCAATTCTTCTAATAAGCACAATTCATGGATGAGGGTGAAGTTAACAGTGATCAAGGGTTTTGATATCTTCTTACACTTTTCACCAAGTTCAAGGTACTTTCTCATGTACCATTCCAAGCATATGTGTTTATGTGGATTCTTTTGAGTAGGTGTTTTTTGGTTTGAATAGATTTTTTGTAATGATTTTGATTCAATTTCTGTAAACAATTTGTTTGATGTATAGATAATTTGATTATTATGTTTTGATGTTCAAATAGTTTGATAAATGATAGATTTTTTGGTATGGTTTTGATTGAATTGGTGTAAACAAAAATTGGTTCAAACAAGTTCAGAAAAAGGTAAACAACACATTTTTGTTTGAGGGGTAGATTAGTCATTTTTGTCATTCAGACAGTTGATTCAAGTGAAAAAAAATAAACAACACAGTTTTTCCGAGAAAGACAATTTATCCGGACAGACAGATTTATCCATACAGGATTTATTAGAAATTTCGGTAAACAACCCCTAAGTTTTAAGGTCGTTTACCAAATGCTTATCGGCAAGAGTATCACCCACCCTTACTTTGTTGGGTAATATTCTCGACCATCAACATGGATTGCATTAAGCGTCTTTATACAAGGTAAACACTTACCGGATAAGAGTCTTCTCCATCGCTTACTGGGTAAGAGGTTTCTTCACCACTTACCAGGTAAGATTCTTGGTCTTATTATGCCTCTTACCTTCTCCATAACTTACCTGATAAGATTCTCGATATTTACCATGCTCACAGGTAAGATAAGTAACACCTGATAAATTCTTATCCCGTAAGAGTTTGCTAAACGCCCCCTTAGTTATCCTTTGCCATTGTGATGGAGAGGTGGCCGTCTCAAAGGTAATCGTGCAATGCATCGAGACACAATTCCATTTCAATGTTTCGTTTTATTTTTTATCCATGTCATATAATACGACTTTATGTGGTTTTGAAAAAGTGATAATGCTTCTATTTTTGAATAAAATATAAATTTGAAAATATCATATAAAATTTGCAAAAAATATATCAATATTAGTATCAAATTAACTATTTAAAAATTCTTGTTTGTGTATTTTTTTTAATTCAAAATTTTATTATTAATTTAATTTAACGTAACGAAGTAACTTAATTTAGGTTTAATAATATTTTTTTATAAAGATAATAATTAAGTATTTCATTAAAATTCAATAATTATCCTAATTATATTTTAGATGTTTTATATTTTAAAATGAAATGTTTATCCTCTATTTGATTATGTTTATCTGCAGTTAGTTACACGAATTCAAAAATAGAGCTTTAATAAGTTATACTTATGCAAAATTTTCTTTTAATCTTGAATTTTAAGTAATATGTATCAATAAACAGTACTTTAGGCATAAAAAATGGTTTTTAAGATTTTTTGTCAAATGCTTTATAATATAGTATAGATTAATTATAATACGAGTTTTTCAAGATTTTTGCAAAATTTTCAAGTTTTTCGATATGTTTTCAAGTAAATACATTATTTAAAATGTATTTCAATGCTAATTTTTAAAATCATAATTGAAAAAAACTTTAAAAAAAATTCTTTTAAAAACTCTGTCAGGATTTGACAGTTGCTAAATGATTTGATGCATTATTATTAAGTGGTCAAAATGATTAAGAGACTATTATGATATAGTGTAAAATTAAATATAGTTATTTGATAATTATTCATAATGAAATTAGGGCACTGAATGGTTCATGGAAGCACAAGATACAAAATCATTCAGATGATTTTAGAACTATTAAGAAACAACTTTTTTTTTGCCAAACAAGAGTTACCTCTTAACGATTCAGAAATTATCTTTTAATGAAACTATTAAGAGGTAAACAAATATCTTTTTAAGTGTAAAAACTCAAATTTTATTATATTTTTTATTATATTTTAAGTAAATTACATATTCCATTCTTATGGTTTGTCCATTTCATCGATTTTTCTTCTTGACTTTGTTTAGCACAAAATTTTCTTTGTCGTTTGTATTTTGTTTTGGTTTTCGTCACGGCTGACTTGGTACAATATCAAGTTTTTTTTTCAATACCATGTGCCAATCATAATTGGTATGCAAAATCTTATACCGTGTATCAACCAACTGTATTTAGCACCAACTTTTTTCGGTTGGTACTGGTTTTGGTACCGACTTCAAGTTATATATATATAAAAACTTGTCTTTTTATAAATTTTGTGTAACATTTTGAGCTTCCAGGCAGCACATATGATGATTAAGGGCTTTTAATTCCAAGAAATAAAACTTGCAAATATTTAAATGTTTAAACAACATAGTTGAAGTTACAATATTTAATACATAAAAAATACAAATATAAATAAATAATTTAATAAATCAGTAACATGGTATTACCATGGTATACAACTTTTGATATCGTGTATCAACCAAATTTGCTTACTTATGAGGTGTTTGGAATTGCTTATCAAAATAACTTATTGACTTATTTCGGTGTGACACCGGTAATAAGCACTTTTGAGTGTTTGGATAAACAACTTATACCAGTGCCAAACCGGTAATAAGGAGTTTTTAAAGAAGTTAACTTTTATGATTTATAATAAATTGATAAGTGCCTTTTATAGAAAAACATAAGTTGTTTTAAATAAGCAATCCCAAACGCCCCCTTAGTACGGTGCTACCAACCAACTACAATTAGTACCAATTGAATTGATAACAATTTAATTGATACAGTTGATACACATATTGATTGATTTGGTTTGGTATAAAATTGTCAACCCTAGTTTTCATGTCTCCCTCCACAAACGCTTTCAAACCCGTTATTTGCCCCCACATGTTTCTTAAGTAAGAGAATTTTGGTCATTTTCTTTGTGTTTCTCGCATTTACCTTTTTTTTATTAACCTGGATATCCACTAATCCTAGGGCGACCACCTACTTTGCAGATAGCCCGGAGTCACCGTATTTGAATCTCTGTGGCCACAAGGGGATTTTTATTCCTCCTTGGATTTGAACCTGTGACTTCCTCGTACTTTTGACCTTTGGAGCCAAGCTCAAACCAATCAGGGACCACCCTTGTGGTTCACATTTAGTTTACTTATCATACTCGAGAACAATAAGTGTTGTTACATTTACTTTATTTATCATACCCAAAAATAGAAAACGTTGTTGCATTTACTTCACTTATCATATCCAAGAACAAAACATGTTGTGTCACTCTGTTAATTAGTTCATATGCAAGCATGGTCATGGATCCCAACATGACCATTCACACTCATTCCCTTTGACATGCTTCATTCAATTTTAGAGCATCATAATCTCGTAATAGAAAAAGGTTTCTTCCATCTTAGTCAAAAAGTAGAAACGTATATGAGTTTCACTCAGAGTCAGTCCATTGGAGGGAGAGAAGAACAAGATACTCACTCTCCTTTTTCTTCTGGATATTGTAGGCTTGTTGATTCTAGAAAAACAAAGAAACCCAACTCAACATAATTGAAATCAAACCAAAAATAAAATTTTACATATAAACATAGGATCGCGTAAAGTACCTTGGATG